GGCCCTCAAGATGCCCAAGATTCCTCGTCGCTGCACTCTGAGCTGGAGACGGTCTTTGCTTCAGCCTTTATCTGCGCAGTGCATGAAGGAGCAGCTTCCTCCACGGAAAAAGTATGGACACTTGGCCCCCGGCCAGCGGGCGAGCCCATTACATTTCCTCCGTTGTTTCTTTCTTTATTCCAAAGTGGCTACATGGGACAGTTTCAGTCTTCACAAACAAGCTGTCATAAGTTCAAGGTCAGGAACATGCAGCTTGTGGCAAACTCAGGCTCCACATAAGATCTGCTATTGGGTTTTCCACAAGATAATTCTGTTTTGTTTGTTGTTTGTTTGTTTGTTTGTTTGTTTTCCCAAAGCGGGCAGTTGCAGCCACATTGGCTTTGTTGGGCAAAAGTAACCAAGATGTCAGGAGACTCACTGAGTCCTGGGCGCTGTCCAGCAGGGTCTTTGTCTAGAGCTCTGGCCCCACCTGTCTTCTAGTGGGCCAACCTTGGAAACTCTTTGGGTTCAGTGCCCTCTTGTCCAGTCTGCACAGATAAAATAGGTCAGGCCCCACAGCCCACCACCCTCCAGGCTGTGAGGACGGTGCCAGTGGAAGGTCACAGCTGTGACCTCTGTAAGCACATACTCATCCGACTTCACCCGCCGGCAAGATGCCTTTTGTAAGTGGCCCCTCAGCCCCACTCTCGGCCAAATCTGGCATGATTCATTTGCTCCAGAAAAGGAATATAAATAAGCGCCATCGCACCTTGACAGGTTGACAGGACTGACAAGCAGAGTAAATTCCCATATCTGAGACTCTGAGGAGGAGAAGTGATTTAGCAGAGCCAGCTGCCATCACCAGAAGAAAATAATTAAGGAAACCCGGCAGTGTGGAGGAAAACTGAGTGTGCAGAAGGTCCCTTCTGGTGAAGGGATCTGTGTTCATTGGCTGCAGGAGGAAACCCACACATACCAGAGGGAAATGAGCTCAGGAAACTCATGCTGGGGACAGCCATGGGGCAGGGGGTGGCCAGCAGAGGGAAGGAGACTCTGGGCTGAGAGGGGAACCCTTGTGAGGAGCTTAATTCTAAGAGCTCTCAAGGCTGGGCACCCATTACTCACACCCCATCCCCTGAGAGGTGCAGCCAGTTCTACGTGGAGCTTCCCCTCAGCCTCCATGGAAGAATCTGGATGGCCTGTTTCAGTGCTCACCCACATGCACACACACATATGCACATCAGCTTGGAAATGCCCAGGAAGGTGTGGACACTCTGCCCTTTGCCCAGGGAAGGGTCAGCCCCTGTTCCCAGTCCAAAGAGATCAAAGAATTGTATTGCAGCAGAAAAAAGATGCAACGTGACAAGCTGTGCCTTTATCTCCACCACTCCTGGGACTCGAAGAAGTTCCCGGCACGCTCAGGGATTTTAACTTTCCAGCCCATGGGTGACCTCACGTCCTCCCCCATCCCCAGTCCTCTATTGCTGATGAATGAAGAATTGTGGGCATATCCACAGACTAACCAGTATAAGGCCAGGATTATAGCAGTGGCTGAACCTGCAAAACTAGACAGCATGAGAAATCAGCAGAGTCCCTGGGTCAGGGACAGAGAACCTGGATGTCCCTCGCCAGCTGGGCCCCAGCCACTGGACCTCTGCCAAGTACACAGAGACAGCCAGGGAAGTACTGGGCCTCCGGAACACCCCACCCCCCACCCCTGGCAGCAGCCAGAACTCGGTTAGGTGTGGTCGACACAGTGCCCTATTGTGCCAGCTGGAAGCTGGAGCTCTCTGCTTGTTTAAAGGATGGCTGGCCCTTATTTTGGCAAAGCCTCAGAGCAGAAATGTCTACTCACATGGCACAGGGGCAGGAAGAGCCCCAGTGTCTCAGTGGCCAGGCAGGGACAGCGAAGGAGACCAAGACTCCTAAGTAGGTTTCCCTGAAGGAAATCCTCTCAGGACCTCCCCCAAAATGGGTCAAACTGGGTATGAAGCAGAATCCTCTCCTCTGGCAAAGGTTTGCCTCCCCAGGGCTTATCCTGAGTGACCCTGGCCCTAGCACAGGAAAATCACCTCCTTGGTGGGCAGAGAGGATGTTCTGAAGTGTAGCCAGTGGTGCACTGATCTCTCTCCATCTCCCCCGAGTCTCCAGGCAGGGGTAGCCAGGCAATCAATCACTGTGTTAGCCTCTCCTCTGCCCATTGGAGGAGACCAGGTGAGCAGGATGAGGCCAGTTCACCCCAGAGCCCCACGACCACCTGAGACAGCCAAAATCGCAAAGCAGATATCTAGGTGAAGGAACTTTCTGGAGCCAGCGAGGAGGCCCCAGTTTGAGGGGAAGGAGTGTGTTCCATCCCAGGCCTGGTATGAGCAAGAGTGTGGGTAGGAGTGGGTCATAGTTGAGTACAAAAAGTCCATGTCGACTAGAGTCAGGGCAGGGTGTAGAGAGAAGATGGAAAGATCCTCCCGAAGGGCCCTTTCCTCGTGACATTGACAGTGTGAGGTTCCTGGCTGCTCCACTGGGTGGGTGTGTGGGCACACCTGGGCAGGGTGCTTCCTGGACCTTCCAGGTCACATCAGGAAGTGAGACCCCCAGATGTGTGCATCAGCTGGGAGCCAGTGAGACCAAATCTTTGCTGCACCCCTACTCTCCCCATGGGTATGGGAGTGGAGGGGCATTTGCGCTGAAGGGTGCCTCTGCTCCCATCTCTGAACTGCCTTTCACAGAGCCCACCCCAAGTACCCTCCAGCCCAGGCACCCACAGTCAAGAGCCCATAAGCAGGTCCCTGGGAGCCGCACAGTGGTACTTCCACTGTTAATACTGTTCTCTTTGCTTTTCAGGAATAAAGTTCAACATCAGGCCACAGCAGCGCCACAACGTGAGTTCAGAGAGTCTGATAAATCTCAGCATGGGCAGCCTGGGGAAAGCTGGGGAGGGCAGGGAAGAAAACTCGGAGCTCACATTAAATCTATTTTTGGAAAGAAAAATGTGTCCGGTCCTTCCCAGGAGCCTTAGGAACAAATGCCGGGGCTTTGGGCCCATGAATTTCCCTTTCCTGTTGGATGGCAGCTTTGGTCTCTGCTAATAGAAGCATTAAATCGGAGCCTGGCTCCTTCAGGCCACCAAGTACCCCAACTCCACCTCGCCAGGCAGAGGTTCCTGGGAGACCTGCGCCATCTTGTGGCCAAAATGACACTTGCACCTCACACCATGGCCAGCAGAGGGGAGGGGGCAGTGGGGGCTGGACCAGGGCTCAGACCAAGGGGGTCACATCCTGCAGGTCACATCTTGCAGGGCAGCCTGCCCCCCTCTCCCTCACCTGGGAAAAACTCAGTCCAAAGAGGGGGGTAGGGACCTGGCCATGGCGAGGTCCTGGCTTGTGTAACCCTCAGTGTCCAGCTATCCTGTCCACCTTGTTAACTGTTTCTCTTCTTGCCCCAGGACCTCCCACCAGGCAGTTCCCAGAATGGTGACTTGAAGACACCCACAGAGAGGGCCACTCGAGACTTGTCCAGCCGGGCCCCAAGAGGCCTCAACCTGCTGGTGCCAGATCAGCCTCAACCTCGCGTAAACAGGGGGGCCCGTCTGCGACCACGGCAGCGCCGCCGCCGGCTGCTTATCAAGAAAATGCCGGCTGCGGCGGCCATTCTGACCAACAGCTCAGCCAGCACGTTCGTCCAGCCGGCACCCGGGGCCCTGGACAGCTACTGGGTCAGCCTGCAGCGGCGTCAGCAGGAGCGCAAGCGAGTGATGCAGGAGGCGTGCGCCAAGTACCGGGCAAGCAGCAGCCGCAGGGCGGTCACGCCCCGCCACGTGTCCCGCATCTTCGTGGAGGACCGCCACCGCGTGCTGTACTGCGAGGTGCCCAAGGCAGGCTGCTCCAACTGGAAGCGGGTGCTCATGGTGCTGGCGGGGCTGGCCTCATCCACCACCGACATCCAGCACAACACCGTCCACTACGGCAGCGCCCTCAAGAGGCTGGACACCTTCGACCGCCAGGGCATCCTTCACCGCCTCAGCACCTACACCAAGATGCTCTTTGTTCGCGAGCCCTTCGAGAGGCTGGTCTCCGCCTTCCGCGACAAGTTCGAACACCCCAATAGCTACTATCACCCTGTCTTCGGTAAGGCCATCCTAGCCCGGTACCGGGCCAACGCCTCTCGGGAGGCCCTGCGGACAGGCTCCGGTGTGCGGTTCCCCGAGTTTGTCCAGTACCTGCTGGACGTGCACCGGCCCGTGGGCATGGACATCCACTGGGACCACGTCAGCCGGCTCTGCAGCCCCTGCCTCATCGACTATGACTTTGTGGGCAAGTTTGAGAGCATGGAGGACGATGCCAACTTCTTCCTGAGCCTCATCCATGCACCGCGCAACCTGACCTTCCCCCAGTTCAAGGACCGGCACTCGCAGGAGGCACGGACCACCGCGCGGATCACCCACCAGTACTTCGCCCAGCTCTCGACCCTGCAGCGGCAGCGCACCTACGACTTCTACTACATGGACTACCTGATGTTCAACTACTCCAAGCCCTTTGCAGATTTGTACTGAGGGGCATGGGCGACCCTGCCTCACCCACTCACCTGTTGGCAGGGGGCATCCCACTCCTCATAGGTCCTCACCTGGGAGCTGAGATGTACCCAGAGAAACAGGGCTCTGAGGAGGTGAGGAGCCGTGGCTGCTGGATGGTGCAGGAGCTTCAGGGGGGACAGAGGCCCAGGCCTTGGATGGGGACCCTGGCCCTTGCCCCATACCCACTTCCTCACTCCTCAAATAAGGAAGATGCTGGTGGTGGGTGAGCCGAACACCCCAGGAGTCCCAGCTGCCCATATCCAGCTCGGCCAAGAGTCAGGATGACCAGGAAAGTCTGAGGCCCAGAGGACAGGGGCCCCAGCCGTAAGGGATTTCCCGCAGTCCCTTAGCCATTGCCTTGTACCAAACCACACGGTTTGCAGCTTTTCTAAGACCAAGGGGGAAGGGTCCCTTGGGATGAGTTTCCAAATAAAGCACATGGTTTCCAGAGCAGCCTTGTCTATACTCCCTGTGTTGGTGTGGGAACACACAGACCCTTCCCTATGCTTTCTGGGGCTCTTCCTCCCTCCCCACACTGGCCTGAGCCAGGTGCTCACAAGCACCACCCAGGGCAGCCGAGGGCAGGAGAAGCCTGTGTGTGACAGGAGCAGAGGGAGCAGGCGACTCGGTGGCAGCACCCGCCTCAGGCTCCCCAGACTAGGACTCTGTCCACGGGGTCCTCCTGTCTTGCTACCAGCACAGTCATCCCAAAAGAAGACAGATCTGTTCCCGTGGAGGACCATCAGAGTCCTTTCTTGTAAGTGCACTTTGTGGGGGGCCCTTTGGGGACATCCAGAGCAGTGACAAGGTCTCTCTGGGCAAGCTACCACCTGGGGCTGCCTCTGGGGTCAGTGGGACACTGCACATGGGTCTCGGGGGGTTGCATTTCCAGCAGGGAGTGATGCCATCCCTGGCTTTCTGAACCTCAGGAGAAGCAGGGCTTTGGCCCAAAGATGTCATCCACAGATCCCCTGACCCTGACCTTGATCCCTGACTTCACCTGACAAAATCACCTCAAAACTGCTAGGACTCCCTGCCCCCCTGTGAACCAACTCAGGGGGAGGGGGAGGAGAAGCTGCATAGGAAACTTTTTCTCCAAAAGCATACATTTTCACACTCAAAAATGGTTCTGAAATTGTCAAAAGCCAGGGCGATTCTTGAAAGTTCTCAGAAAAAGTGAGGGCATGACTGTGGCTGTTTTGAGGTCTTGTTTGTTGTGATTGTTTCCAGGGGCCTGTCTGTCTGTCTCTCTGCCACTTTGAGGTCTCATCTGTCTGTCAGCGGTCCGCTGCACAGCTTCCCACATCTTTCTGTGGCCTGTGAGTCTCTCCTGGGAGATTGCTCTCAATCTGTTCCCACTCGCTGGGGGGTGCCGCCAGACCCTGCGGGGATGCTGCTGGTCCCCAAGGTGGGATATGATGCTGGATCCCAGCCAGGCTCACACTGTCATGAACTGCTCCATCTTTCTTCCTAGGCTCTGGAAATTTATAAAAGTAGAACAAGGGGCTGAGGCTGCCACCTGTCTGCTTGGGGCCACATGCATCCAAGAACCCTGAGCAGGGTGAAGATTCCCCTGAGGTCAGGCGGGAGGGTAGGAGGCTGTGATCAGGGCTGGAAGGACTCACAGGTGTGAAGGGCAGGAAGGGAGATGCTGAAGGCTCAGAGAGCCAGAGAGACGGACCCACACCTTGGGCAGGGCCAGGTCAGCATGGGAGGAAGCTGGGAGGGGCCTGGAGGACAATGACCCGGAAACAGCTGCCCCTGGGCTGTGGTGCTCACAAAGTGAGAGGGAATACACAATGCAGAAACAATGTCTCTGGTCGTGGATGCATTTGGCAAAGCCTGTGGCCATGTCACTGGTCATCTGATCAACGAGGAGACACCGGGAAGCCCAGCTGAGGCAGCCTGCAGGGCGCCTTCACTCACTGCTGCTGTTTGGAGATGATCAAGACTGCCCGGGGACCATCCTCCCATGGTGTGTGTGTGTGTGTGTGTGTGTGTGTGTGTGTGTGTGTGTGTGTGTGTGTCTAGGAAGAGGGTGGTGAGCATGTGAGTCTACGTGTATGAGTGTGTGTATAAGTGACGTAGGAGGTATCTGTCTGATGGGGATAGTGTCTGGGGTGAGGGGATGTATAAATGTGTGTGAGTCTGTACGTGTCAGAGGTTGGGGGGACTGTGGGCAGTCCTCCTCTCTGGGACAGTCTTGTGCTGCTCCCTCCCCTGCCCATCCCTGCCCCATTTCATCTGCTTATCACTTTGTGGGGTACAGTCTAGAGGGAACCATCTAGAAGGGGCCACGGACTCCTCCAAGGAGTCAAGCAGGCCCATTGAGTTGGGGAAATAACCAGAGAACCCCCAGTGCCCTCTGCCAGCTTGGTACTCCAGACTTCACTGAAGCCCCTACCAGGCCTTTGCCCTGAGAGTGGCTGAGACCTTCCCAGACGTGAGCCCTCCTCTCTATGTACTGAAGAAAATAGATGTCCCCAAACCTAGGGTCCCCACTATGGCCTGTGAGCTCCAGAAATCTGGAGTTCCCTGGGGAGGTGAGGTGCCAGATCAAGCCAGGTGGTCAGACATGAAATTGAGGCCCCCCTGGCCTCCTAGACATGGCTGTCCCCAGGGGCCTGGCTGCACACAGGACCCAGGACCAAGGTGGGCGGCAGTGGATGGAGGAACAGTCATCCAGCACCCCCTCCCCACCCAGGCAGGGCCCATTTACCAATTCCATCCTCAGGAGTTGAGCCCCCTCAGTGGGCGATGGGCGCCCCAGGGGAGCCTGAGGTGGGGAGGTGGTCTCCTCTCTCTCCCTCCAGCATCTTAGCCCTTTCCTCTCTGGGGAACACCCTTGGCTAATCCTGGGGTCGCCCCCATCCCACCCAAGTGCTGGGGAACCCAGAGCTGGGCACAGGTCGGGGTGGGGGGCTTAGAGTTGACTCATGGTCCCAGGAATGGACCAGGATGGTCTCTGGAAGCCAGGGGCCGGCAGTCTGGGGCTGAGCAGGCCTGAAATACTCCTGCCCCCATCTCTGGGCCCCCGAGGCTGATGGGCACAATGACCCTGAATGAGGCTGGTGGAGCTGCCCCTGGCATGGAGCATGTGTAGCTCTGACAGCTGTTACTACAGAGAGAATGGGCTCCAGCATCTGGTAGCCCAGGTACAGGGGGAGGTGTGCGAGAGCCCTGAGCTTTGTTTTGGTTCCCGGGGCTGGCCTGGCCTGGCTGTGAGGCCTGCTGCTGTTCCCTGACTATTCATGCTGCCCAGAAGGGCCCTTTGCACACAAGACTCAACCGTAAGATGGCAGCAGAGGGTGATCAGGGGTCTGCCAAAATTGGGACCACCTGGGAAAAGACGTTCCTGCCCTCTCCCCGCCTCCGGAAGTGGGAGGTGGAGGGAGAAGGCTGAAGGGCTGTTCCTGAGAGCACCTGAAGCCTAGGGTAAGGGTCGGGGGTCAGAGGTCAGAAATGGGTAATTCCAAACCATGGAGCCTAGGATGTGCCCGCTTGAATCAAGCGCTCCTGATGGGCCAGTGCTGTGCTGGCCTCGCCTACGTGCTGCCTGAAATGCCTCTCCCCGCAGCCCTGATCACGCCTCGCCGGACTTTTCAGGTGAGGAGACTGAGGCGCAGAGGCTTGCCCAGAGCTGCACAGCGTCAGGCCCTGGAGCTGGCATCCGACCCATGCAGGCGGGCTGGGCCGCCTCGCTTTTTGTGTCCGCCCACCGCCCCGCCCCCTCGGCAACTGTGCTGTGGGGGCGGGAGGGCGATGGAAGGTGGGGTGGGGGTTTTGCAGGAGGGCAGAGACAGCACCTGGCCACCAGAAGGCGCAAAGTCCTCGCTCCTGAGCCGTACCCTGAGCATCCCGATCGGCCCACGAGGTGGCAGCAACACCCCGAATGTGTGCAGCTCATGCGGGGCGCTGCTTCCCCCAGACCCAGCGGAAAGTGCATCGGTCTTCTGCCCTCTGTCCCTCCCAGCCAGTGGGGTCACGGGGACTGTGCCTCTCCAACTCTGTCTCCAG